GTTTTACCTGCTGCTTGTGGTACAGGAGCACCTGGCTGCCCTCCTGCACCCTCTTGTCCCTCTGCTCCCCAAATACAAACCTTCAGACAAACTTCTAGCCCCGCCTTGTGCGTCCTTCCTTGCACCTTTGATGCCTTAGTGCCTTTTTCACCCATTATTGCTGTAAGTCAGATGGTGTGTCCCTGGAGGGAAAAGGTGCTCCAGGACTTGGGTCTTTCAGTGGCTTGGTCGTGAAAAGGGACCTGCAGGAGGGCACGTGGTGGCCTGTGGGGACATTGTACCCCGGGGTGGAGGTTGGGAGCTGTTTGTTTTGGCAGGGCAGGTCCCTGTCCCGTGTCACTGCTGGTTCAGTGGGTGACCCAAAAGCAGAGCTGGGCTTTGCTGAGCTCCTCAGGCTGCTGTGGGGCCCTGCCAGAGACACTTTTGCTTTTGTGGGAGCAAAAGGGGTGTGCTGTGTTGTTGAACCCCTCTGTAACTCTCAACTCATTTGTCCCACTTTGGAAGTTTCCAAGGCCAGGTTGGACTGGCCTTGGAGCAACCTCATCTAGTAGAAAGTGTCCCTGCCCATGGCAGGGGGTGGAACTGGATGAGCTTCAGGTCCATCCAACCCACACCATTCCATGATTTCTAGGCTCCCTGGGAGACATCTCCAAGTCCTTCCTGGACCTCACCGACCCGGATGAGATCAACACCTACTTTGCCTTCAACGTCACCTCGGCTCTCTGCCTCACCTCCACGGCCCTGCAGGCCTTTGGGAAGCGGCCTGGCTGCAGCAGGACCGTGGTGAACATCTCCTCCCTCTGTGCCCTGAAGCCCTTCAAGAGCTGGGCTCTGTACTGCAGCGGGAAGGCTTCCCGGGATATGATGTTCCAGGTGCTGGCGCTGGAGGAGCCCGATGTCCGTGTGCTCAACTACGCCCCGGGTGAGCAGAGCAGCTCAGGGACTGCTGCTGATTTTCATAGAATCACAGAATCATAGAATCAGCTGGGTTGGGAGGGACCTCCGAGATCATCAAGTCCAACCCTTGATCCAACCCCGCTGTGGTTCCCAGCCCATGGCACTGATGCCAC